ATAAATATTTGCTGTTCTGTGTACAGAACAATATAATTTATAAACATGCACTCTATTACCACTCATAACCATTTTTGACTGTGGTTATTTTCTAAAATTGATTATTATGACCCCAGAGAGTCTCAAAATATTTTGATGCTTTTATCACGCCGATAACAGTAATCTTGAAATTTTCCCCTAAGCCACATGACTACATCTGGCATGACAAAATCCATTTGTATTTCCATATTGCTGTGTTTCACAATATTATACTCTTACTATAGTGTAACACAATATGTAATAATTCTTTCCAGATGTGTACAATTTATCAGCAACTTCAGTCATAAATTGTATCGATGAATGATAAATCTCCTACCACACAAGTAGTGGCAATAATGTTCGACAAATAGTAGAAATACAATTGGTTCTTTCTTTGTCATGCAATATCTGTGTCCAAGAGCCATTAGCAAATGATATTAGAAACTGGTCACAAATAATCATTAACAGAATGTAAAAACCTAAGAAATTACAGGTTTTTTGTATCATCATGATTATTAGTGATCTAGTAGTTGACCATTGCAATTTTCATAAAATCAGTAGAAAGTCCACCCCTCATCTGAGCGACCAAAGAACTGCTTCTAGGAGGGGACTTTTCCTACACCATACTATATTCTTGGAACATGGTCTCCCTTCAGAGATCAACTTTTCTTCTCACTAATAAGTTCTTTATCTGGAAAATCCAATGAATCTCGTTGCCATAGTACTAAAATTTTAACCTTAATACTACTAACAAAAAGTATGGAAGACAGGGACTTTATGAATTTATTTCTAAACCTCAACACAATTGATGGGGCTAGAGACATCATTAGTACAAGTATAGATGAATCTTCTAAGAATACTTTCCAGGGTAGCATTTATAAAAATAACAAAAAGGAATGACCCATGATAGAGTGTGTGTAAGATAGGGATAAGGTCATTACACTAATGCGTATACCAACTGTAGGGGAAATCTTTTATTAAACTTTGGTGAACTAGAAATATTCATTTTTCTAAATGAAAATGCGAGAGAAACAACACAAAGCAAAATAATACTCCTGGAATCTACTTTGTATTTCACTTTATGATATACTGTGCCTCATCTTTATGGCTTCTCCGAATTCGCTTAAACTTTCTGGCGTATCAAACCAGTTTGGAATACATCAGCAGAGACTCTTTGCAAAAGAAATGTAAGGAAACATGCATAACTGGAAATTTCTGGTTGAACTGCGGAATCATCTGGAAACAAGATAAAGTAATTCAATTTATGTTAAATGTTAAGATGTTTTTATGAAGTAAGAGGCAACGATATTAACCTCCTCCATAGACTTGAGAAATTGGATTAAATTAAATAAATTGGCTTTACTTTACAAACAGAGGGGCGAATGGTTCCATTTAACTTGTATCAGTAGCATTAATTAACATACTTTTGATATTCAGAATTGCCCATCTTTTGTTTAGAGTAAAAGCTTAACTAACACATTTGCATCATTACTACCGTCGACTTTTTGTACAAAATGGTTAAGTTATAAGGGTAATTTAATCACTTTTTACTGACAGATTGGAGTGAAGCCTTCCTCTGACACATTAATACTACACGCCTTCATCAGGAGCTAGGAGGGAAGGAAAAATATAGTATGCGTGCCTGTAGAGTTCAAAACAATTCAGAGAATGCAAAATAAATTGAAATTACTTTAGAAATAGATCAACACTTTTGTGAAAAACTAATAGAAGATTTTGTTATTGCTCACGTACTGTAAAGACCATTACACATACCATTTACTGAATTATTATGGTCACACTACAAAGGAATATACAAATATTCTAATGGATGACAGAAGTGATGTCTAAATCTTGTTTTGATTTGCAAAATGCATAATATGTAAAGCGAGTGATTAATCTTACAACTTCATATGTAATCAGTCAGTTTCTTTTACTGAAACTGCATTCATTAGCGAAAAGGCCGTTGCTTTCCCCTTTTGTAATGGCAGTAAAAGTCAATGTATACACCATGCACTAAGTAAAACTACACATTAACAAAATTCGAAATATCGATATTTTATTATTTATCTGCATGTTTAAAGTGTTTTGTAAGAAAAGGTCTGACTGTTTTTGGACGTGGTGCCTGCCTTGGAAAGACACTGCCTCTAATTTATCTTCAGATTTGATTGTTTTCTGATTTACTGTTTTTAATGGCTACTCCAGTTCTAGTAATCGTTTCCATATACTTGCGTTACAGAATTATTGTTAGTGGCAGGCAGAGGTTTCTTGACCGAAATACAAACTGCCAGAGCTATTCAATTTTTGTAAACCAGACAACACACAGGAAGAAGTATTAGCTCATTAGATGTATTCGGATGGACTGATGCGCTATCAGACCACTATTCTCTATATTAAGCAGTCTGAACGACTTTTGGAAGGTCAACTACGTCACGTAATAACTGCTACTTGCACGATATAGCCATTAAAAATCGCCAGTACACGTCATGTTTATTCAACATATATTTCATAATAACAAATGCAGTGATGTTAACGATCGATCAAACAGTTAAGGAAAGACTTCATGAATGTAGCATAAGTACGAAAATATATTATTTTATTCAGTCGGCTGCTAAATTGACTTAGATTTTTGTTGAGATTATCAGAATTGACAAAAACAACACTGGTACATGTACTCTTCACAGATAAGTTAAGCTTCCAAGTCTGTACCATTGGTTGACACGATCTTATCTGGAGAGCCAGAGGTGAACGAAATGCTCAATGCAACATCATTAGGCTTAACTGTTTCAGTACTGGTTCAGTAACAGTGTGATTAGGCCTCAGCATAAAATGATATCCAAATCTTACTGTATTTCTGACTTGCTGCCCTAATAAATAGTGAAGTAATATAGGCTACCACGAGGAAGAAATAACAAAGGTCATAGACTGGTCAGAATGAGATTCTGATTAAAACTGCTTGCATCTTAACCCATCACACAACCTCAGTATTTCCCATAACGTTGTTTCCCAAATAATCAGATTTGTATGTTTCAGATACAACAACCTTATTAATATTGAGGGGGCTATACTTTTCACGAAATATATCTTCTTTTTTTTTTGTCAAATATAACTCTCTCAGGTAAATTAACTTAATGAGTTCCCAACTCTGAGAACTTTGAATTTCAGAGTTATTATGTTCCACGGGTTATAACTAGCGTATAGTGTCAATGAAACTGATTCAGTAACTGAATAGAGTTGTTTAAACAATTATATTCAGTTATGTACGAGCTGCCTAATATCGGCTAAAAAATACGAAGAATTAAATTGTGGCGGAATCCTACAAGTTCTTCAAATACCTATAGAATGATAGGTTTATTTTTTATGAGTGTAAAACACCATTTTGATTCAGTAATTGTAATCATAACCATACTCCAATTCCATATCATTGGGTATTCATTTAGTTGAAAGGCAATTTAACTACAAAATATTGCCCTTGGTTTTTGCTCTATTTTGGGGCATTATATTTGTCATGTAAAACTATTACTGTTTAAAGAAAAGTGGCAAGGCTACCTTCTACTGTAACACGAACATCTCCCGCAGGTTCAGTAGAAGACATTCTTAGCATTAAAATTTGTGACAAAATGGATAATATTTGCTCCATACCTTGAATGGAGTAACACGACAACAATCTATTGACTGGCGTAAAAATTAAGTGAACATATTCAATTAACAACTGCAATTACTTTCGTGAGAGACATAGTTAAACATATTTTGCCAAAGACTATAAGTAGATAGCTATCGCCGATTCCAAAAAGTGATGGAGTTATATGAGAAACCTCCGAAATTATAAACAGGTAGAAAAACTGCTCCTTTTGCAAAAAATTAAAACACATTTATCTGATTTTCGATACACATCCTTTCGACTCTCATATTGTTTCTTGTCTTGTTTAATTACAACAACAGCAAAACCTTTTTGCTTTGTCATAATCTAAAAACAAAAAAGAAAACTTTAATAAGGCTGTATTGACGAATTTTATAACTTGTCAATTTTTTTTTCAAAGAGTACATAAAAAAGATGAAAGATATGTGCATGTAGATACTGGAAAAGTTCATTTTATGTTTATATTTTTGTGCTGTTGACTAACTGTCTTAGCCCTAGTCTATCAGTTGAAAATTAAGAATGGTTAGTGCAGATAACTCTTTTGTATCTTTGCACAAATATCCGAAACAAACGAATTTTTTGAAATGGTTACATTAGCTGTAAGTGCAAGACCGAAATGTGTGATATTTGCAGTCAAGATAGGGTCCCATTGAACTTCAAGTGATCAGAAACAGCTCCTTTCTTTGAATCCCAATTTCATGTCTTGTCTAACATTAAATTGGGATAACCTTCGTTCCATTTTTTTGTTTCACTTAATATTATCCTGCAATGCAGATTTTCGTTGATAATTATTGTGGATTCTTAAAACGTGACTATCCACGTCGTACATCCCAACTGAGTACCGGATTGAATTTTTCTAAAAACAAATGAGCTGGTTTGCGTCCCGTTCGATTTCTCAAGTTTATAATGGAATGAACATGTTTGACATTATTTTTAGCGATATAGCGTGAAAACAACATCAAAGAGAGTAATGAAAGTAATTTAGTTTTTAATGTTTGTTTTAAGCGTAAAGCTGCACAGTGTTGAGCTATCTGCAAGGATCAAGCCCCAAAGTTTAGCGTTATACGTCTCGGGGTTACAATTAGGTAACCAGAAGTGCAGGTTTTAATTATAACACATGTTTTACTGATCCGTGACATTATTTGGACACCAGATAAACAACCATAATCACGTTACTGAAGGTAATAGTCAGAAATTCCTTATATATCCACGAAGTGAAACAAAATATAGCACGGAAAAGTGTAACGTTAAGGAGTGTTGTTATGACTGTTACATTAATAGTGAATTGAGTGTCTGGAGTGTCGTATAAAGAAATAATAAATAATTTGATATCCAAAACAAACACTTACACGAACAGATTTTTATTGTGTTTTTTTTAAGAAGTTTAAAATACATTTGTTGGTATTCTGTTTATTGACCAATCGAGAAGAAATAATATAAAAATTCATTATATCTTACTTAAATCAGACAGTAAGAGAGAACACAATGGCGAAATGTGCATACAAAAATAAAGCAACTTTGTTTTCTAGGTTTCTTAAGTTTTTACTCTGACGTTTACTGTTCAAAGCCCAAATCAACAAATTTACACCGTATTTAAATAAATAACAGTTGTTAAAATTATTTGAAAATAACGAAACATTTCACATGTGTGAGTTAGAAACCAAATCATTTGACTGACTTTTATTTAATGTTATATTATTAACTTTAATTCTAAGGCTAGTGTTTTTTTCAACCTGAATACAGTAAGGTCAAAACATAACTCTGCATGTGTCCAATTTAATCATTGTACTGCAAATTTTAATGGTTAAATTATTGTACACGTATCTCTGATTGCCTAATCCCAAAGCCATTTTTATTAGGCATACAACGATTGCGAAACACTTATCTATCTTTAACTCTGTGTATAAATTATGTTGTATTAAATAGTTGCACAGATAACAAGGAAACAGATTACTGCTGGTCTATTTTCAATGTACTTATATTAAAATACATCAAAATTGTTAGTATTCATTCAATGCTGTGATTATTTGTGAGAGAACCTTGTTCGTGTATATGGTACGTAGTTCCTCGACTAAACAAAAAAATACGGTTTATCACAGTAATCACATTGGATTTCAGTGACGTCATATTTTACTTCGACCTTTTTTGTTAGCTATTAACCAGACCGATACGGGGGTCACATCCTATGAAGCAAAGTCGAAGTTACATTTGTGTTGGCCCACCGCCAAAAGTCTACTATGCATGACTTAAATTGTACGGGTTAGAACCTACTAATATATCTATTCATGTCGTTGCGTAACATGTGCACAAATATATTTATTGAGATAAATAAAAGGTCTTAGGACTGATGAATAATTTCACAATACTTACATACGCATTTATTATTGTCTTTTCCATACTGTTTTTTTTTCTGTAAGAGCAGACACCAAAACAGTAATAACACATTTAGAATTGAAACTGTAGACGTGCGATAACTAGACAGTGAACAAAATTATAGTGCGTAACGTTTTCAACATGTAGTAAGGATTTGTTTTGTTTTGAAGCACAAAGCTGCACAATGGGCTACCTGTGCTCTGCTCACCACGGGTATCGAAACCCGATTTCTAGCGTTGTAAGTCCGCAGACATACCGCTATGCCAATAGCACTAAGATACAAACGTTCTTCATTAATTTGGGATATGAATAAGATTAGAATTATTATCCATTAAGCTGAAGTAAGCTTAGCTTTGAATGCACTGATATTTTTTTGCGGAAGCGAAATTGACTAAAAACATTTAATGAACCATGTAAACCTTTACTAGAAGAATTTATGTTCAAAATCTGTGTGTTAACCATATACAGAATATTACTACAAGTGTTAATGTCTTTACAAAATCTATAAAACTTCAACTATGTTAGACAAGTTCGTCACATTTTTACTTTCAAGAAATTGTACAGTATTTTCCCTTTTTATTTTCCAATAAGAAAAACTTGTTTGTTTCTTCGTGATAATAAAATAAGAATTTGTGCCACATCTAATTTATTATATTGCTTTAAAAACTGAAGCTAAACATAAGGAAATTTTTAATCTTTGATAATTGCAGAACATGAAATACATATTCAAGGCAATGCCGCACTGTTTTGCATTCTAGAAATTGTTAGCACAGTGCAAAAGTTTCAGTAACTAGATGCACATAAACATTTCTTCTCTTTGAAAACTGAAGTTATACATAAGAAAATTTTTAATCTTTTACAATTGCAGAACATGAAATACATATTCAAGACAATGCCGCACTGTTTTGCATTCTAGAAATTGTTAGCACAGTGCAAAAGTTTCAGTAACTAGATGCACATAAACATTTCTTCTCTTTAAAAGCTGAAGTTATACATAAGGAAATTTTTAATCTTTGATAATTGCAGAACATGAAATACATATTCAAGGCAATGCCGCACTGTTTTGCATTCTAGAAATTGATAGCACAGTGCAAAAGTTTCAGTAACTAGATGCACATAAACATTTTTTCTATTTAAAAACTGAAGTTGTACATAAGGAAATTTTTAATATTTTACAATTGCAGAACATGAAATACATATTCAAGACAATGCCACTATCAAATCTTCATTGACAAAATACAATGAAGCTAATGCTTGTTCAGATATAAATTTTAGTGAATATAGATTTACACGTTCTCATATTATTAGTAACCGTCGCCATGTTGTTTCTTTCTTTTCTTAAGAAATTTAAAAAAAAGGTTGAGTAGCCAATGCAGTTTTGAAACTACATTTTAACGCTTCTGGAGGATTGAATTTTTTTATATATATTATTATTTCTTTTACGGAATCACCAGTATTTTAATATATTCCAGCTTTTATAATAAGGAAAATGCTATATAAATACAATTAGTTTGGCGATTTAAAACGCATGAAACGTTTACAGATTAGCACATTTAACTAGCATGTTAAAACAAAAACTCCCGGAAATGCATCTACAGATGATCATTGGTCCAGATGACAAATTGGGAACGTTTCAAGCAGTCTTCACTCCAACATAAGAAGATTTTTTTCCTGTCTTATTCAGAGCTTCGAGAAGCACATCAGAGGACAAGTTGGAATCAATAAAAACTCGCTTATTCTCGAGATCAATGTCCACCTTGTTTACGCCTACATGGTAAAAACAAAATACAAAACTTAAAACCGGTTTCATTGTGAAATAAAACATTTCAAGGTGATTATTTTCAAATGAACAGAGTTTTTGTCGATTTTGTATTCGATTTATAGCCATAGTCTCACTCTAAATGAAATACAAATACTAGAAACAAATATATTTACATATTTTAGCCTCAATATTTGTTTTATTCGAACAATAACGGATTTCTGTAATATTTCAATTATACACATTTACAAAATATAACTCTGTGTATAAATTATGTTGTATTAAATACTTCCTTTGTTTGTTTGTAATTAAGCACAAAGCTACACAATGGGCTGTCTTTGCTCTGCCCACCACAGGTATCGATACGCGGTTTCTAGCGTTGTAAGTCCTAAATACTTGCACAGAAAACATGGAAACTTTTATTAAAATACATCAAAATTGTTAGTATTCATTCAATGCTGTGATTTTATGGTATAGAACCCTGTTCGTGTATATGGTATGTAGGTCCTTGACTAAGCAAATAAAATGTCAAATAATTTTTTAGATGCAAGTCTTGCGTTATTATTTTTCGCCCCGTAATGCCCAAAAGTACACTGAGTGGTCACAAGTAAATAGATACCTAATTTTTCGTCATTTAACTGATTTA